ACAGTACCCCATTTTACCTGACTTTCAGACAAAGGTTGATAGAAAACACAGAACAGATTTGCATTCTATACAAAAATTATAATTTATTATAGTTACTTAAACTACAGCTATAGATAAGCACACACACACACGCAAATAGGGAAATTAGATTATTAGCAGAGGTAGAAAAAGGCTGAAAAGTCAATTCAGTTGTCTTTGCTTCCTGTTTGCAATGTCAATAGGATGCTACTTCAGCTAGCCAGACCCTTGGTGTTTAGTTGTATTTGTTTGGAAGCTTTTGTTAGTTTGTAAGAAGTACAGTGCAACTGATTCGCTTGAAAAATATCTTTGAATTATTAGTTCAAAAATCATGGCTTGTAACAACTGCTGCAGAAGAAGCAAGTAGTTTCCCTCAAGTTTAATCAGTGTTTTTTAGTGCTGAGAACATGCACTCTTCTGGGGACAACAACAGTGCCAACTTGCTCATCTAGCTGAGAACCAACCTGCTTCACTTGTTTTTTTAAAAAAAGACTCCTCAGCTCCTGATCATTTGTGCATTGCAGGAACTCAGCCACAACAAACAGAGTTCACATAGGTATTCAATTCCTTGCTGTGAAATTATGCAGTTGTACTGGTAAATCCTTGTCTTTAAAATCAGTTCTTCCTCCTTGCAGTCCATTGTTTTTAAAGACACAAAAAATAAGATACTGTCCTTACATGTCAATGATCATTCCTCCATACCAAGGTTTAAAGTGGAGTTGTTTACTGAAGGATCCATGTTTTTATGCTCCATTTACAATTTTTCAGATAGTAAACCAGCCCATACCAGGACAGTGATAACTGGACAAATACTAGACTTGGGCTGACAAGCTGTTTGTAATATTTTCAGCACATGAGTGTCAAATACTTTCAACAAGAAGTGTCTAATCACCTTCCATTGACACTCCATTTCGTTACCATTATCAAATCCCCCAGCGTTTACATTAAGGACCAGCCATTGATCAGAAACTGGTCTCATAAATATTGTGGCTAAGAAAAGTCAGAGGCTGGGAATTCTCACCTCTTGACTCTTCAAAACCTTTCTACTTTAAAAGCATAAATTATTATGATATTGCTATACCCATTGCCCTCTAGATGGGTGAAGTTGCAACAATGCATAAGCTTAATACTATCCAAAAAAAAGCAATTTGCTCGACTGGTAGCCTGTCTATCAGTTTAAATAACTGGTGCACTGTGTTATTGTCCAAGGTTCTTTGATGAAACCTGCTAAATCTACAAACACCAGCAATTAGAAAAAAGTGGGCAGTGTGGTACGGTAGCATGATAAGGTTCAGGTTACCCTCCAAGTCAACACAATGTCCAACACTAAATATGCCTCACTGTTTCTTCATTTTCATTTGATCAAAGTCCTAGAATTCCATACTTAACAGCACTGAGCATCTACTTTCAGCAGACAAACTACAACAATCCTGGAGGGAGGTTCGCCAACATGATCTCAAATGATGTTCAATAATTGCAGCCTTGTTAATGGTGCTACATCCCAAGAATGAATGAAAATAACTTTTAGCAATGATTTTTCTTTCCATCAACTTTCTGTTAGTTCTGAAATATCCTATGATTTTGACCTTTAAACACTCATGTTGCTCATCTACATGTTGTCCCTCATGAATATCTACAGGTGAGAAGTAAGTTTTCATATAGATGCTGACAGCAGTTAGCTGTACTTTTCCACCACTTCTTTTGACCCCTCCACTAAATCTGTATCTCAACGAAATTATGGATAATCTGCAATTTCCTTCAAGTAAACGTGAGAAGACTGGAGTCACAAACTCCATTCCTCTGCCACAGATTTCAGTCCCTTCCTCAGCTACTAATTTTGGATGAACCTGATAATCTTAGTATACTATTTGCCCAATAGCTGAGTTGATAAGCCGTGTCCTCGCTATCGCAAAGATTTTCTCTTTTGCATCATTGCCCACCTCTGCCTCTGCTTCTGGGCAATCTGTTGCTGAATCCTCATATGTTTCTGTCACTGACATGCTCTCCAGGTCAGCCTTCCATCCTCAATCTCAGCAGAAACTTCAGTTTATTCAAAAATGTACTATGCATATTCTATCCTGCCTTGAAGTCTAACTCATCCATTACCCTTATCTTTGCTGACCTAAATACTCTCATAATCCCTCAACACCTGCAATTTAAATCCTTATTGGTATATTTAAAACTATTAATGGATTCACTCATTTTTATCTCTGTAATGTTCTCTCAGCTACAACCCCAGTGACTCCTCTATCCCACCCCACCCCCATCCAAGGTCTCTGCTTGCCTCTGAGTATGTCATCTTGTGTATTTATTCTCTAATTAGCCCACTATTGACGATCATGTCTTTAACCATCCAAACCCTTTGCTTCTCCTGAGTTCTGTCCCTCCACCTAACTTGCTTCTGTTGTTTGGCCCAATTTTTAACTCTTTCATTAATTGGCCATATAAACTCAAATTGCTATTGCAGTTTATGTGGGTGTTTTTATTGTCAGTTTGAAAGGAGCACAGGAGAGAGCCCTTTTACTTTCCTTTGCTCTATAAAAAGAAAAGCATAATTTATTTTTCTTAATGTGCATCCTGGTTGCAAACCCTTCTTTTCATCGATTGTTCTCATTCTGGAATAATGGTAGTTAGGTAGCTCTTGATACTGATGATGCACAATATGATTAGTTACAATCAAGGTCCCCCAAAGTATCCATTTTCAAGCAGAAGTGCAATCAATGATGAAATAGACAAAGGACTTTAAAAATTGGTGAAGCTTTAAGAATGTTAAACGTACAAAACAGCACAATGAAGAAAATTAATCCAATTAGAATTGTGTGACAGCAAAACTGGTTCAAATTTTAAAAAAGTGACAAAATAATTTCAGCAATAACAATGGACAATTTTTAGCTATTCCAAGGCTGTATTTTACCATCTGTTCTCTGATCATCTAAAATTATGGTTCTTTTTTAATCCAGATTCTTTGTTTTAATGCTCTTGTGTTACATGTCGCACCTAATTTGGGACTATAACAGACAAATTGAAATATGGCTGTGGATACTGGGTAACGAGAAGCTGTGACTCAGCTGTGAAGTCCCTTTGTTTAAATAGTCAGACAACACTCATTTTGGCTCACACATAAAGGTTGCCCATTTTGATAAGGTAACAGAAAGCTGCTAGTTCATTCCAGTTTTTCAGGACTCCTTGATGCCATACTTAATTGAATATTTACTTGATGTCAAATGGCCTTATAAAGATGGCACAGAAACAAGAGATGTCAGTCTTTCAGCGAATATCTGCTAGGTGATGAATTGTTCTGGGAAGAGCATGTGCTCATAATGCAAGGATTAAGAGACGTATGAACGTGGTAGGGTTTTTTTTAATTCATTCATGCATTGTTGGTATATCTGGCACGGCCTATATTTATTGCCTAGCCCTAATTGCCCAGAGGGCAGTTAAGAATTAACCATATTGCTGTGGGTCTGGAGTCACATGTCGGCCAGATCAGGTAAGGACGTTAGTTTCCTTCTTTAAGGGGCATTAGTGAACCAGATGTGTTTTTCCTGACCATCAACAATGGATTCATGGTCATAATTGGACTCTTAATTCCAGATTTTTATTGAATTTAAACTCCACCATCTGCCATGGCGGGATTTAAACCAGGATCCCCTCAACTTTAACTAGGTCTTTAGATTAACAGTTCAGCGATAATACCACTAGGCCGTTACAACTCCAATTAAAGTGGTGGGTTTGGTAAGATATGGCAAGAAATCTCATTAGACCGCGAGATATAAAACCTTCCAAAAATTCTCAACCCAGTTTGGATTTAGCCAAAACAAAAGTTAGATTCAGCCCTCTAGATTTTTCCAAAAAGGAATAATCAGCCCCTGTAGACCAACAATCTGAAAACAAAGGAAAACGTAATGACTTCTCATGTCTGCAGAATGTCCTGTTGATAAATATGAATTGCTGTAGATTGATGGAATTGTCCAGTTCTGTTTCTAACCAACTTGTATTCAAGTCACTGAGAATTGGTCATAGTCCACTATTTCAGATTTTACCAGGTAGTCAGAAATACTGGTACTTAGAATCTTTTTCAGGTATTTAAGGACTTCTGCCAGGTGAACAAGGGAGACAACTTGCAACTTCTAGCTGTTTGCTTCCTCTGACTGCTGAGTCTGCAGAACAGAAATCTAAGTCCAGAGAGGGGAGCTAGAGAACCAGCAGTATAGGGGCCCCCGGGGTTTAGTCGATCTTGTCTTCTGCAATAACTAACACAAGTAATCTACCAGCTTGTCTCCTTAAAAGCTTTGCTTAACTGATTCCCTAAAGCCACTTGATTTATAGCAAAAAGTAGGTGGCCTACCTCATTTATTAAACTGTTGACTTCAATTTCCAAGAAATCACGTGGTAAAACCATTCTCAATGCAAAAAATGTCAAGTATTTCCCAGACAGTCCTTATATATGTTCCCAGCACTTGGTAAACCATTTGGGCAAACCTGAAGTATTACAAATGTAGTGCCAGTATTCTTCTACATTATAAAGTAAATAGATGCTTGATAATTTTAAACTGGAAATTGCCCTGTGTGATGTCATTGTATGAACATAACTGTTTGTTTGATGTGTCCATTAAAAGTGTGTTCAATGGGAAACGTTTTTAGTGTTCTTTAAATGTTGTACACTATAATTTCCAGATTTTAGTATTTAATTATGTAAAATTCCACTGGTGCTCTGTCCAATAATTATCCTTTAAAAAAATAGATGCTTTTTTTCCTCATTATTGCAGTTTGAGGCAACCTTGTTATGTATAAACTAATTCCAGCACTTTGCCATATTATACCTGTGTCTGCCAATGTACTTTGTTACCTATGAAATATTTTTAGATACATTAAAGTTATGAAAGCTACTTAATAAACTCAAGTTTTAGAAGTTCTTTAGGTTTACTTTACATATTATGGTAAATTGAAATAAACTGATCAGAATGTGTCTTTATCCTTAGGTTTGGGGATATTTCTCTGCAGGAAATTATCAATCAAGAGAATTTTAAATTACTCAATAAATATTATAAAACATTTCAAGAAAAACTAATATCAAATTGTAAGTATTCACTTGGTTCAATGTTCTTAATTATTAGGCAAATAGCTAAATGTCACTGTAAGGTTTCAGCCACATTAGTTTTTAAAATTCCTAAATATGATTTTCCTAACATTGTGAAAAAATGTTGATGAGTACTAGCACAATCTGCCACTTTGCTAATGATAAAATGACTATTACAGAGGTCTTGTTAAACATAGCAGATATTGAGAATTAAAAATTCTTCGTTACAAGGTACTTGAGAAGTGGGATATGTAAAAATAAAGGGGTACTGATAATAATGATAATATGATAGTTCTGCAGAAGAATAACTTACTATTTTAGATGAAGTAAAGGAACAGAAAAGGATGTGTTATATTGCTGTGTGTTTATGCGAACCCACAAATAGTAGAAAACGGATAGGAAAACAAAACTGTAGGTAAATTTCAGAGAAATGTGGAAGCAGTGGTATGGAACTTCACTCCGTCGTAACAGGCTACCATGTACAGATAGACTACCACCTATTCTGCTGTTGGAAACCGGGGTGGAGATAGCAGAAGCTCTGACCACAAACTTTTAATCCGCCATTGATTTTGGAGTGGTGCCATAGGACTGGAAGATTGTGGGTGGTTCAAAAATGGAGCTGTGACAGGGAGCAGATAAAGCTAGCAACTATATGCTAATCAGTCTAATGTCAGTGGTGGGGAACTACTAGAGATGATGGCCACCGTGGATGATTCTGGTGTACAAAAGGAGATTGGCAGAGCTATAATGATAGCAAATTCAATAATAAGGGGAACAGACATGCACTACTGCCACTGCAAAAGATTGTCCAGAATGGTGTGTTGGCTCTCTGACGTTAGGATCAAGGATTTCTCAGAGTAGCTGCAGGCTGTTCTGAAGGGGTAGGGTGACCAGCCATTGGTCACAGTACATATCGGTACCAATTTAATAGCTTTAAAAAAAGGGGATGAGATCTTACAAGCAGAATATAAGGAGTCAGGACATAAATTAAAAAATAGACCTCAAAGGTAGAAATCTCATGATTGCTACCTGTGCCATATGTTACTAAGCATAGAAATAACAAAATATACCAGATGATGATGATGTCACAGAAATAGTGTAGGAGGGAGAGATTTAGAGTTTTGGCACATTGGACTGGTTCTGAGGAAGGTGGGATTGGTATAAGCATGAAAGATTACATTTAAGCAGGACTTTAGTCTAGAATGGCAGGAGGATGGGAATCTGAGCAGGGAGACAGAAAAGAAAGTAGGGTAGAAACAAAAGGCAGAAAAGTAAGAATCAAAAGTGGAAGTCAGGAAAAACAAGGACAAAATCCAAAAGGGGCCATAGTGCAAAATAAAGCGAAGATGACTGATAAAGTACAAGGTTAAATGGACAAGTCTAAAGGCTTTGTGTTTTAATAGCATGTTCAATAAAGTAAATATTGTACCTATGCAAATACATATAAACTGTTATGACATAGTTATGATTACATAGATATATCTGCAGGATGCCCAGGAATGGGAATTGGATACCCAGGGATATTCATTATTGCAGAAGGACAGACAAAAATTGGAAGAGAGTGGGGTAACTTTGTTAATGAGGGTGAGCTCAATGCAATAGTGAGAAACAATATTGACTCAGAAACTCATGATTAGGAACCTGTATGGTGCAAATAATAAACACCAATAATAAATTGTTGAATATTACTATATACCCCACAGTAAATAGGAAGGAAGTAGAGAAGCAAATTCAGGTTAATTTTATAGAAATTTCTGCTTTGAGCAAAGAAATCTAGGGGACCCAAACAGATTTTCAATTATAAATGGTCTTACTAAAGCAAGTAGAAAGAAACTATTTTCTCCAGCAAGTAAATTGTTAACCACTGGTTTTAAGTTTAAAATAATTTTTTAAATGAACACGTTGCATGAACTTTAGCTACAGCTGTTCAAGAGATTCACATTTTAGTAACTTGTTTTATACAATCCTGAGAGACTTCACAGAATAAACATCTTATGTACAAGATTTGTACTATAACTTCAGCATTTAAAAATTCTCTTCAGGTATAGAGCAGAAGCCTTTCTTTATCATGGTAAACAATGTAAGCCTAGGTATTAAATAATGGGATATGGATTTACACATTCTGTTTATCCTATATCAAATTATTTCTGTAGAAACACCAAAAAGAGTCTCAGACATTGCCTGAAAGCGTTAAGAAAACTGTGGACCATTCTTGACAGTTGCTAATTGTAGATGTGAGAGAATCACTGACTTAGAAAGCCTGGAATCTGTTTACTAAGTCACTTGATCTGTTGTCAGCTTTAGGTGGAGCGAAGATATAAGGAAATGAGGGAAGTTGTTAAAATACCTTTCAGAAAAGGAATGTCTCATTCATCAAAGAAAAGACTAAGCAATCAATTTAAAAAATCTCTTTTATTTGTTTAATTAATTAGAAAATCAATATTTTATGTCCATCTCTCTATTTAATAAACATAATTCCCTTTCGTTATGGATACTAGCTTTAATATTGACAAATAACATTGATTGCAGGACTGGTCAGCACTAAATGCTGACACTGAAGTTGAAAAATCTATTGACCTTTGTAATTACTCAATAAATTATGATATGATTAAAACATTTCTCCTTTCTTGCAGGTCTGCCTCGATTTCAAACTCAGATTGATATAAAAGAACTACTTCAAAGCCTTAGCCAAAATGTCCAAGTTCGGAAAAGAAAAAATGTGGAAGTCCTAAAACTTGCTGCATTGGTAAGTTCCATTTGTTTATTTGACTTTTAAAAAAGTTCCTAGTTATAAATGCATAAATTGCTGGTTTAAATAAGAATAAGCTATGTATCTCATTCAAAGCAATATGCATCACCTGATAATTCAACTCTGGTCATGGCAATAAACTCTGAGTTTGAACAATTAATATTTAGCACCTGTATCACATTCAGTTAAATATGTACATGTCTCCTGTCTTGTTCACATTGTAAAAATCATTTCAAATAAAAATAGCTCCTCAGCCCTGACCCCCATTGGCTTCCTATCCTTAACACATTCTGAATTATTATCTCACTCATGGACACCCTAACAACCTCACCCCCTCCGTAAAGCACAACATTTGAATTCTCACTCAGTAGTATCTCCTTATTTCTACAACAAATTTCAGCTTGGAAAATGTTTTAACCTGCACATCTGTATGTGTTTTTCTTCCATGTACAAAATACCATTTTTTAAAAATTTGTCAATTCTTCTGGACTTTAATCTTTGCCAACCACAGATGTGTATTTCCTGTTGATTTATGAAAGGCTATGTTCATACTCGTCCTTTGGCCACTTTTCACACCTCACCCCCTCCGTAAAGCACAACATTTGAATTCTC